TGATAGCACCATAAAGACCAAAAGAGCTTCCCTCCCCAGTTGTGCGATCCTGCCCACCACCTAAACAAATGGTATTGTGTTTGAGAGATGACTTCCCTTATCACTTTCCTTGTCATGGAACCCTGAAACCCCAGAATCTGCCTGTGTATAAATATTCTGAGCCCCTAGACGCGGGGTTGCAATCCTGCCCTGAGCAGTGGGAATGGACTGCTATCCGAACAAAGTTTGCATTATTAAAAGACTTTTTTGTCTCACTACATTGAATTGGCAATTCTTTGAGCTCTTTTGGGAATCCCGAGATCTGGGCATAACAATTCCCAGTTACACAGCAAGTTGGAAGACAGCCTAGGCTATATGAAATTCTGCTTTAAAAAAAAAAAAAAAAAAAAAAAAAAGGAAGGAAGGAAGGAAGGGAGGAAGGGAGGAAGGAGGAAAGGAAGGAAGGAAGGAAGGAAGGAAGGAAGGAAGGAAGGAAGGAAGGAAGGAAGAAAAAGAAAAGACAGGAAACATGCTCAGATAGTGGTGGTGCACTTTCAATCCCTGCACTTGGGAAGCAGAGGCAGGTGGATCTCTGTGAGTTAGAGACCAGTCTGGTATACAGAGTGAGTTCCAGGACAGCCAAGGATACCCAAAGAAACCCTGTCTCAAAAATTAAAAAACAAAAATAGAACAGTACTCTGAAAACAGACTTCATGAGGTTTCATCATACCACAAAAAAGAACCCTGTTCTCTGACCAAAAATAAGCAAATAATCACATCTAAGGTAGACCTCAAATACAAAACCAAACTCACCCCCCTCTTAAGAGTCATTTAGTCAGGCAGTGGTGGCACACGCCTTTAATCCCAGCACTTGGGAGGCAGAGGCAGGCGGATTTCTGAGTTCGAGGCCAGCCTGGTCTACAGAGTGAGTTCCAGGACAGCCAGGGCTACACAGAGAAACCCTGTCTCGAAAAAAAAAAAAGTCATTTAACATTTAACACTCATTTCTCAAGTACAGATCAAACCCATGTCACTATTTTTAGCAGCCCTCATGTCAAGAGCGGTTTGTAAACAACTGTGAATGTGATGTAACAGTCTTGCAGACCAGAAAGAGAGGGTTCCCCTAGTTCACTGGCACTCATCCTAGTTCAAAGAAAGCTTCAGCCTAATAGAGTTTTCAACTTGTGGTTCAGACAGTTAACCAGAGGGAGTGGGAGGGGAGGTAGGGTGGGAGGGGGGGATGGGAGTAGGAGGATGCCCTGCTGAACACCTACCTAGAAACTGTATTTCAAAATAAGCAACAATAATTCAATTATTTAGGAAATCTAAACTTAAAATAAGTATAAGAAATAATCCCAGCCAGGCAGTGGTGGCATACACCTTTAGTCCCAGCACTTGGGAGGCAGAGGCAGGTCGATTTCTGAGTTTGAGGCCAGCCTGGTCTTACAGAATGAGTTCCAGGACAGCCAGGGCAACAGAGAAACCCTGTCTCGAAAAAAGAAAAAGAAGAAGGAGAAGGAGAAGGAGGAGGAGGAGGAGAAGGAGAAGAAAGAGAGAGAGAGAAAGAGAGAAAGAGGGAGAGAAAGAGAGAGAGAGAGAGAGAAAGAGAGAGAGAGAGAGAGAGAGAGAGAGAGAGAGAGAGAGAGAGAGAAAGAAAGAAAAGAAAGAATCCCACTGGTAGTTTGACCATGCTCCAGAATAGTCTATGGGCAACACAAAGCTGACTTTTTTCCTGTCCTTTTTTTTGGGGGGGGAGGTCACAAGGGCAGCAGTTGGACTGGGAAGACTGGGAAGACTGGGATGTAAATGTGATGGAGTTCATTATGTGAAACTCCCCAATAATAAATAAAAATATTATGTTGGAAAAGAAAAGAAGTAATCCTTCCCATAATCAGAATGAGTTAGTGTTAACATCAAGGAAAGTAGCCTGAAACTTCAGGATCCAAGGCTCCACCCAATGAGACCATGTTCCTTTGAGGTCCCCAAGAAAAATAAACTCTCCATGTTTATACAAGGAGAAATCAGAAGCTCATTCTTTCTCAATCAAGTCACCATATCGGTTTTCACTAAGGTTGGCCTTGAACTCTCTGTGTAGCCAAGGATGACTTTGAACTTCTGATCTTCCTGCCTCTACCACCTAGCTGCTGAATGTACAGGCCTGTACCATCAAACCTAGCCATTTTGCTAGCTTGTTTCAAATGAAATCTGCAAATCAGCCTGAATTTAAAAAAACAAATTAAAAACAAATCAAACAAACAAATAAATAAAAAGCAAAAACCAACCAATTCCCTAGAGAAGTGAAATTGAAGCATATTCTCTTCTAGTTCCTTCTGGTTATGTAGAATATATGTCAAGTACATATGCATTAGTCCATAAAAAATGGTGTAATTAATCAGGCCAGAATATTCCCCCAAACCCTAAGCAATTTCTACTTAAGAACCTTTCTGACTCTTCTTTCCTTACTGCAAAGTGTACAGTGAGAAGGGTGGCTATTAGGTAGGTAACCAGATCAATACAGTGTGTGCTGAAGTTAAAACACAGCCCAGCCTAACCTAGGATTCACCATCCTCCTGCCTCAACTTCCCAAATGACATCCACAGTTGGCTTTCAAATTCCTGTTAAGATTTGTTTTGTTTTAAGATGGGCTCTTCTGGCTGTCTTGAAGCTTACTATGGAGAGCAGGCTGGTCGTAAACTCATAGAGATCCTCCTCCTGTCTTTGCCTCTCAAGTGTTGAGATTAAAGGTATGTTCTACCATGCCCGGTCCCAGTATCTTTTTTTTTTTTTTTTTGAAACAAAGTCTCTCTATGTAATCCTGGCTGACCTGGTACTCACTCCATATATAGATGAGGCTAGCCTTGAACTCAGAAATCTCCCTATCTGTACCTCCTGAGTGCTGGATCAAAGACATTTGATACCACACCTGGCCCAATACCTTTCTTTTTTTTTTTTTTTTTTTTTTTTTTTTTTTTTTTTTTTTTTTTTTT